CTTTGGCAAAATGTGGCAGAGTTTACTTTATGGTTTTTAGAAAGCCCATTTCAAATTTTGGTAGTCAGGATAGTTTGGTTAACTTTGTTTTGCATGTGTTGTAGAACTGCCTCAGTAAATGGCTGAGGCTTTTTCAATTTTCATTTGGTGGTCCAGAAAAAAAAACAAAAAACCAAACTTGGAATTGATAATGAAGTTGTTGCATGTTTTAAGTCATTACTTCTTCCAGATTTCTAAAATTATCAGTATCGTTAGCAATTTCATGATGACTCAGAATTCTTGCTTTGAATGTAAGCCCCGCTTCCAAGCTCCTTTGTAAGAAATCTCTTGGTAGTGAATACCTTAATTTCAGCTTTGGAAATCAACGTTCAATTAACTGAGGTGTGAAAAGCAGTGTCTGTGAACTGTTGAGCATGGCTGGTGGTAGAAGAACTTGCTGAAGGTGATGCTTAGTGTCACGGTTACTCCTGTAACTGGCTCGTCTCTGTACCTTTCCATGCAGCGATGACAGGCTGTCCCCGAGGAGGACTGTTTCATTCCCCAGCATCAGGATCAGGATTAAAAAAAAAAAAAAAAAATACTGATGCGGTAACAACCATCCCCTTCACTTGCTGCATATCGTGGGGCATTTTTCGGCAGGAGAGGAAAGGGTGGAACAGCTTGATTTTTGTGGCAGCTTTTTCAATTAAGTGACGAAACTGCTATTTCTGCTCAGAGATTTAGATCATCTGTACAAACAGCACTTCGCTCTGTTCTTCCATCTTGCGTTGCTCCTTAAAGCAAAAGGCATTCTTCAGTTGCTCAAACCAACGCAAGAATTTCAAAGCAATGTCCTCCTTCGGCGTGCTTGTATATGAAAGCATGTATTGAAAGGACAGAAAATGATCTTCACCAGCAATACGAATGCATTTGTCATAGTTGTTGCTTGCTTTTGTTCGGTGCCCGTGAAGCCCGCAGCATCGCGGGCGTGCTGTGGAAGGGTGTCGTTTGCCTGCTGCGACTGGTGTCCTCTAACGCCAGATCTGTTGCAGACAGACGAGTGAGTCAGCAGTGGTGTATGAATTGCATTCCAGTCGAATACTTTGCAATAGTAAGTAAGGTACTTCAGGATGCTTCTGTTTAGGTGGGGGAGAAATCGGCTTGCCTGTTTAAAAAACAATCATGTTTTTCTAAAAATAGCCCCCGCCGCCTCACTGTTGGATATTGGTTTTTTAGCAACACTTCAGTTTTTGTGCTGTCAAGTTGCAAAACCCCAGAGTGTACAACACTTTTATTGAATCAGCGTCAGTCCATTGATTCATACTCTTCGTGCCCCCCCCCAAGTCTTTTTCCATTTTCTTTACTTATTGGCATGTTGTGGAACTCCTTTTACAGTAGCAGCTCTGGGTTTAAAAACGAACCTGTAATGATGCACAGTTAAGCTTAAGCATTCAATTCTGCTGCCTCGCTCCTGTTTAAAAGAAGAAATGCATGCGAGCTGTGCATGTACCGCTCGGGAGGAGCGAGGGAAGGGAAGAGGGGTCACATGAGATGCAGGAGCCAAAAGTGGATCCTGCTTTCCAAGAGCGTGAGACTGCCCTGGTTATTTTGGAACTTTTTATCTCTCTCTGGCTGCGTGTTTTGAGGCTTTGGTGTTTGGACAAGTCTGTGAGGCTGCAAACTGGAAACGCTGCTGTTAAGATGTTCTGTTCCCTTCACTTGGGGTGTCTTGTCTGCTTCGCTTCCATCTTGCACCAGCTGGGAATCCTGGAAAGTAGCTTGTGTCTTAGCCTCTCGGAGAGGAAAAGCCAACAGCAGAAGAAAAGCTTCTGAACATAAAGTGCAGGCTGAAATGCATGAAAAAAAAACGTGTAGCAAAGTCACGATTGCGAGTAGAAATTTGAGCAAGTTACATGGTTATTTGGTGAAGTTTGGGCATCTGTCTCATGGATGATACCGTAGTTGAAACTGAGTTTTGTTTTGATGTGGTGTGTCAAAATGAATTTATTTTACCCCTGTTGCTAGCGTGAATACTTGTCATCTATGGAGAAGTGTTGTGGAAAGCAGGCTAATGTACTGGATTGTTTTGCTATTTGTAATTTATATAGCTCTGCTGCTCAGAGCAGGATGCCGAAGGAGGTGCTTTTGAGTATAAATGCTCGAACTGGCAGTAGGTAGAAGTCAGGTTGAAATTGGGAACGAGGAGGCAGTGATGGTGTGTGCTAGCTGGAAGTCAGGTAGTTCAATGTTGATAGGCAGGCGCACGTGATTTATAACCAGCTTCTTCTGCTTATGGCATGTAGTGACTGATAAAATAGTAAATACATTGCTAATTATATAGCGCCTTGTGTTAATTTAACAAAGAGGTGTGGACAGCTTGTAGAGTAAAATATGTTCAGAGTGAAGTTCAAAGTCTAAGATTTGTGTGATTCGATAGTATCTGAAGTTATCACAAGCTCTGAAAGTTAAGCGACTTAATGTTTTATTGGATTTTTTTCAAGATAAGCTTTATTTAGGGTTTGGGCAAGTACAGAATAAACTGGAAACCAGATGTGAACCCCTTTCAGTGTCTGTATTGGAGGCAGCCACAGATAACTTATTTGGATTTCTCAAAAGCTTTCATATTTTTCTCTTTGCGTAAATCATCTTTTGAATCGTCCGAGCAGACCAATGTCTGTTGATACCTGGATTACAACACAGTAAATGCTAATTCTTTTTTTGAGAGTAGAAAACATTATTTCTGTGTATTCAGTTCTTAATGTTTTTCTTAAGTCTTCTAGTTAACTGTGTAAATGCAGAACTTGGTCCGTGCTGCTTCCCTGTGAATACTTAGGCTTGTGGGAATTCTGCAAGGATGGAATGAAGTAGTTTGCACCCTACTACAGGCTTTTCTTCGTGTACAAGTAACTGGAATATTAATATCTTGGGAGCTACTGCAATGTCTTCCATTCTGATGATTACTCTTCGGAGCTTCGTTATATTTTAACCATAAATATAAAAAAGATTCTTATAATTGTGGAATAATTCAGGTTGAAAGGGACTTTTGGAAATCACTTGTTTCAACCCCCTTGTTTAAAGCAGGACCAATTTCAGACATACCATGCTTTGTTCTTACTCCGTCTAAAATTAGTTTGAGGAGGAGTATGTTAATGCGGTAGGGTATGGTCTGTTTTCGAGCTGCTAGTTTCATTTCTGTTTTGCTTTTCAGTGAAGCTTCTTCACTACATTATCATTTCTAATAATGTTTAAAACTTGGGAGCACTTTCTTTTCTTGTTCTGTTTAAAAAAAAATAGATCCATATATCATTACACCAGCAGGAAAATAAATACCAGTAATTTTCTAACAATTTGTTGTGAATTTTTTACTACATCTGCTCTAGACATAAACTTAAAATTTTCTTATTTGGCCTTTTTCCTTAGTGCTAATTGGATTTTGCTAAGAGATTCTTTCCCT